CGTGTGGCTAGGTCCGTGGTGAGTATGACGCCGCAGTCACAAAGTTGTCCTACCGAGAGGAGATTAAAACGAAGGTTTGGGACGTAAAGTACGTCGTTGAACGAGATGTGCGTGTTGCTGTCTCGTGCTTGCAGGACGACAATGCCTTGTGCGTTGGCGCGCAGCTGCTCGTTGTTGGCGATGGTGACGTAAGTTGCGGGGGCGCGACTCAGGTTCGATACGTATCGCGTGGATCCCACCATGTGCTGTCCGCAGCAGCTATCCAGGTACCAGGTATTGTGGTTGTCAGTGTTGTTTCTGCGTAGAAGTAGCGCCAGTCGCGGAGTCACCAGGGTTGCCTTGTAGCGCCTGTGGAAGAAAGGATCTTCGTCCTCCTTCCATCCCACCGGTACGTAGTGTTGGTTGTCATGTGGCGGACTTTCCCGCAATGTGATTGGTTGATTCCAATCCTGCTCGTCTTCGTCATACAGGTAGTAGTGATCTTCAGTGAGGGGATTATTCCAACCCTCTTCTGGTTCAAGGAGTCTTCCTTGTATCTCATTTTCTTCGTCAGGTTCAGCAGTGCGACGTCGACGCGTTGCCATGTTTGTAATTATGTTTCGAGGAGCTCCTGATTGAGGTCCTTGAGATTGCTGATGTTGATGTTGTGCAGGAGGACGAGGTGTCTGATGCTGAGACTGAGGATGGCGAGTGACTTGTCGGCCGACCCAGTTGTTGTGGTGAGTGGAATTTGGGTGCCGATAGTTGGATCGGGAATTGCATCGATCCGTTGAATGTCCAAAGACTTTGCATATTTTGTAATAGTGGCGCCTTGGTTGTCGTCGCTCTTCACGGTTGTCTGCGTAGAAGGCGAGGCGCTCTCATCGTGGCGCAGAGCTTGTTCTGCTCGAGTCCATGTCCTGCTGTTCAGTCAGGAGTGCGGCGCATAGCGCGGCTTCTGAGATAATTCCTCGTTGTCGGAGTAGCGCTTTGCAGGGCTTCCACTCTGGCCCGAGTCCTTGAAGGACTATGTTGGCGAAGATCTCTTCTGAGATTGCGCTCCCATGCTTCGTGATCTGGTCACGGATGTTCCGACAGCGGTTAATATAAGAGTTCGCTTTCTCCCCGTGCTCCATCTTTGTCTCCATGAGGTGCTGCAGGAGCCTGCTGGCGGTAACCGAATCCTTCGGCTGATAAACATCAACGAGGTGCTTCCAGGCTTCCAAGGCTGGAGCGGTGCTCTCTTTGTAGGAGCGGATGCTAAGTTGTTCCGCAGGCGTCATATTTCGTAGCAGCACGCTGTACGCCATGAGGGACTCGCTGTAGTACTGAGCCCTGGCGTCGTCGGTGTCGTCCACCGGCTTAGAATAGGAGCCGTTGAAGTAGTGGTAGATCTGCGCTGTCTGCAGGAGGAGCTCAAGTTCGAAACTCCATGTGTAGAAATCCTTGCCGTCAAAAGCGGCAGTAGTCTTGATTTTTGAAACGTTGAGAAAGCGTGCTTGCGCAAAGTTAATGACTTCATCACTTGGACGGGGGGCAGTTGTTGTTGATTTGTCTGTGTCGAAGGAGAAGGTGTGCGCGGCGGTATCACGGATTTTCGTAGCCGGTTGTTCAGGTTGAGCTGGTTGGGAAGAGGTTCCCGCATCGCCTTTGCGAAAATCTTGGAGTTCTTTCTCCATAGTTGTGCCGATCGTAGTTGTCGCCTCATTTGTCGCAGCCGGGTTGGTTTGTCCTTAAGCCGTCAGATTTGCTTGGCCTCCGGATCCTCCGGCCATCTTGGTCTTGGAGCGTGTGCCGCTCGCCAGATCTAGGTTCGGCGAATTTCACGGAAGTGAAGATGCGAAGAATCGCTGAGTAGCTCTCATACCATGTTACAATCCCAAGTGGGACTTAGCGAAGGATCGCTCAGGGTTGATCGCAGAGTAGTGTTGCAGCGGAAGTTTGAATCTCAGGTCAGAGTGAATGTAAATGACTGAGTTGATAGAAGCATGCATACATCGAGTCTATATAAGAATACAGGGGAATACGAAAAGACCTAGGCTAGCCATGTAATCGAAGGGGTACACTCCCTTATTGCAGCGAAATTCAAACCGTGCGGCGCGGGAACCCGTTTCAAACCTGTTCCCGCTCTTTTCACTTCAAATGTTTCTGCTTGCATCGGTCTTGGCCAGACGGTTGCTGCGTCGCTTCGACTCTTCTGACTCCTCGACTTCGTACTCGGTAGAGTCGGCTCCTGCAGCATACAGGAATTCCTTCTCATGTAGTTTCATATCGCAACAACTGGCAACCCTGTATTGTAGTGATGGCAATAAGAGCTGGGTTCATCAATGCGCTTCTGCTCTCTCTGCATGCAACTCCCCACTCCTGTGGTCTACTGTTTTTTCACATCTAAATAACGTTGATAATTTGCTAACAACTCCATTTGTATTAGACAACCCGGTTCTCCACTTATTTACTGCAATGGCGACCTTCATCATATTGAATGACTAGCAGAGCCATTTCAAGAATTTGGGTTAGTGTAGAATCTATCATGGAGAAGAGAGAATTGTAACACGATGGTGCAACAACAGTCGCAAAAGTGACCTCGCGAATTCGCCGGTGCAGTTTCTCCACATGCCCTCACCGCGGTTGTCGGTGACTGGCGGCGAGGCGATGCGCATTGCACACCAAAGCAATAATGTCGCGCCTCGAGAGCATTCCCCCCTCAACCAGCACCAACTATTTTCGCAAGCTACACCATCGCAAAATCTCCCAGGCAGAGGCACGGATTCTTCACCAACACCGCTAACCATAATTGCTCTCAGGACTAAAAACACCAATAATTGCGCCAAATGCTTTGCCAAGCCGTTAGACGAGGCGTCGCCATGATTCGCGCCGTATCTTCCGTTCCCCTCGCCTCGCCGGCCTTTACCCCACCCATATCGGGCTCCATCCCAATTATAAAAGCCAGGTCACAGCGCTTCATCACCATCCAGCGCGCCTGACTGATATTAGACAATCCGAGAATCATTATTTGTTAACGGTCGCTTGTCGCGGCGACTTCTCACTATCCGCCAAGCATAATTTCTTCCGATAGCACAAAGGAAGTAGCATGGCTCGCTTCTCTGTGTTCTTGACTCTCGCGGTTCTCGTCGCTTTCATCCTCGCACTTTCATATTGCTCGCCTGCAGACGGCCGATTGGTTATCCCGTTAAGAGGTAAGCCTCCAATCTCTCATGGGTGTTTGAAGCTTCTGTGACTATTGGCGTACGTCGCACTTTATGATGACAGCACGATGTGCATGCTCCACAAAGCCTAGTCCAGACACTCGGAAAATCGTCTTATTTTGCTTTCTGTGCACCTGGCAGGTGCTGTGACGAAGACGCCGACTCAGACTGCATTCACGCGGACGACCGGCGGAATGAGGCGGCTGCTGGATGAGGATAATGATGACGACGATGATGATGATGACCATCATGACAGAGACGACGACGATAACGACCATGACGACAGCCTCAGTGACCTGAGCAAATGCGTGGTGGAGTTTAAGCGTGCGGTGCAGTGGTGCATGGTGAAACCGATGAAGGACGATTGTGGCAAGCAGGCTTATAAGGCGTACGAGGAGTGCAAGAGCAGGACCTAATCTTGCAAGGGGAGGGTGGTGAGGAGAAGGGCAGCAGCAGAAGAAATAAAGGGCAGCAGCAGAAGAAATAAAGGGCAGCAGCAGAAGAAATAAAGGGCAGCAGCAGAAGAAATAAAGGGCAGCAGCAGAAGAAATAAAGGGCAGCAGCAGAAGAAATAAAGGGCAGCAGCAGAAGAAATACAGGGCAGCAGCAGAAGAAATAAAGGGCAGCAGCAGAAGAAATAACGGGCAGTAGCACATCAGAGTGATGTGGAGCTGTAGATGCCAGTGTTCCGCTGTGGAGGTCGCTTGATGCATCATAATAGCAATAACAGAGGCAGTGGTCACTCTGCTTTGTGAAATTGCAAAAATATTGACTACACATGCTTGGAAACTTGCCACTGGTCACTTGGATGCAGGCCCCTAGATTTCAGCCTTTTTTCAGCCTTCTTTTCTGTACCAAGGCTGATTTGTCAGCCTTTTCCCAAAAAAACGTGGTGATTTTCTACTGTTTTTTTAATGAAAAGGGCTATTTTTGCTGATTTTCAGCGTAAATTTGCCAGTGAACTCTGATTTTTCAGCCTACCCCAAAACCAATCTAGGGGCCTGCTTGGATGGTCAAGCCAACTCTAATGTCCCTGATCTCCTCCTGCAACACTCCCTTGACTTCAAACACGCAATGATGAACAATTGCCATGAACATTAACCACACCGAGCAAGAGTAAAGGTACAGTACACACCTTATGATACTCAGAAGCCCCCTATTTCCTCCAGGGATAATCCCTTGGTTTCAGTCACACAGCAATAAATGAATGTAGTGGACATCAAGCACACCAAGCCAAAGAAAAGGTACACCCCGCCGACCCCAACCATAGCTGTCGCCGGCAGAAAAAAACATCCAACGAAAAAGTTGCACACCTGGAAACAAAATGAAAAGAACAAAAAGAACGTGGCAAAGAAAAGCCTCTCAGCACAAACAAACAGCCGGGCAGAGCCACCAGAAAAAAAAAATAGCCAACATCCCAGTTTACGGCCATGCTGAACGCCACCCCTGCAGCCCGCACTTGCAAGGGGAATATCTCCGGAAGCAACAGGCTGGGAATGGGGCCCACTCCACAGGAGAATGCTGTCACATACCTGTCAATATGTCAAGATGGAAACGTATAATAACTCATACATAGTAAAGAATACAGTTATAACGATGGAGAACGGAGTATTGGTGCTCGTAAGGAGTTCAGGCATGCTACGGGGCATGATGGCATTGGGATGAGATGAGCCTTACGTGATTGTGCCGATCAGATTGAGGAGTGGCGCATGGGGTTGCAGGAGAGGCAAGGAGAGGCCAGCCGAGAGAAACAGCATGGAGCAACCCTGTAGCTCCATGCAACAGATAGAGCAGAAACAAAGGCATGAGCCTTACGTGATTGTGCCGATAACAGAGAGGAGTGGCGCATGGGGTTGCAGGAGAGGCAAGGAGAGGACCGCCGAGAGAAAGAGCATGGAGCAACCCTGAAGCATGCTCATCCACGGGTGGGGTGGGAACACCATAGAGCATATCGGGGAAGGGAGGGAGGGAAGGTGAGAGAAGTGGCACATGGGGTTGCAGGAGAGGCTAGGACAGGACTGCTGAGGAAATCGGCATGAAGCATCCCTGCTGTGCAGAACGCTCATCTATGGGTTGGTTGGGATCTCAATGGAGCATACCGGGGGAGGGGAGGGGAGGGGAGGGGAGGGGAGGGGAGGGGAGGGGAGGGGAGGGGAGGGGAGGGGAGGGGAGGGGAGGGGAGGGGGGGAGGGGAGGGGAGGGGAGGGGAGGGGAGGGGAGGGGAGGGGAGGGGAGGGGAGGGGAGGGGATGGGAGGGGAGGGGAGGGGAGGGGAGGGGAGGGTAGGGGAGGGGAGGGGAGGGGAGGGGAGGGGAGGGGAGGGTAGGGGAGGGGAGGGGAGGCGAAGAAGTGGCATTGCACTGCACTGGACGGCACTCCCACCTCTTTGAACTGCATTGAAGCATACTGTGTTTCCGTACCATGCCAAGGAAGGAGAGCAGCAGAAGGGGCTTTCTCCCTGCAGAGTCAACGAGACGAGCAGCCAGCAGCACAGCTGGCGGGATGGAGGGAACGAGAGAAGCGAGAGAGATAAGAGGAACGAAAGCACATGGGAGAGACACTGGAGGCGACGAGGCTATTTTTAGAAAAATTAATAAAAAAAAATCCGAAAACGTTCTGAACACTGCGAGCTTGAGTATCGGCGAACATGGTAGCGATGCGAAAGGAGAAACTAGCAGAGTGAAATCATGGTCATGGGAGGGGAAACGTATGCCAGGGAAGGGCCACAAGCACCTGGGAGCTTGAAGAGTGCGATGGGGGCAGACACGGAGATTCCCGAAGAGAAGCCAGCAGAGCGAAAGGCGTGAGAAGAGAAGTAGATGGGAGGGACATGGGAGGCGAAGCGGCTAGTAGATAGATAGTGTTACCTGAGAGCTTGAAGAGTGCAATCAGGGCTGAAACAGCAATGCCTGAAGAGAATCCAGCAGAGCGGAACACGTGAGAGGAGAAGTAGACAACGGCGTTGATGCCTGAGAACTGTTGCAGGGCGAAGAGGGCGGCGCCTAGGAGGAGCACTGCAGGGGGTGGAGGCAGGGAAATGGCTTGGGCAGCTTTGAACCTGTGTGAGAGGACAAGTAGACTACGGCGTTGACGCCCGAGAACTGCTGCAGGGCGAAGAGGGCGGCGCCTAGGAGCAGCACAGTGTGAGGGGATTGGGAAGAAGTGATAGCGACATGAGGGGGAAAGGGAGATGCAAGGAGAAGTAGACAACGGCATTGATGCCCGAGAACTGCTGCAGGGCGAAGACCAGTGAGCCTAGGAGCAGCACTGTGAGAAAGAAGGGGGGCATGGGTGGAAGAAGCAAAACGAGAGGGAGAGGGAAGATGAGGAGAAGTAGACTACGGCGTTGATGCCTGAGAACTGCTGCAGTGCGAAGAGCAGTGAGCCTAGGAGGAGGACTGGAGGGGGTTGGGGGCTGTTGAGGGGAAGTGGAAGGGCGGGAAATGGTTCAAGAGGGTTCTGGAAAGACGTGAGAGGAGAAGCGGACAACGGCATTGATGCCCGAGAACTGCTGCAGGGCGAAGAGCGCTGAGCCTAGGAGCAGCACTGCGAGAGGGTGGAGGGCGTTGGTGGTTGGTTGGATCGAGGGAACAGCTGGGAGATGGTTTGAGGGAGCGTCTAGGAAGTAGAGAACAGTGTTGACGCCTGAGAACTGCTGCAGGGCGAAGATCGCGGAGCCTAGGAGCAGCACTGGAGGGGGGAAGGGTGAGGAAAGGGGGAAGCGGGAGGGAGGAGGGAAGGGGGAGGCAGGTGGTGGGGGAAGTAGAAAATGGTTTGAGAGAGCTGAAAGAGGGCTGTGAGCAGGAAACCTCCTCCCCACCCCTCACCTCCTCCCCACCCCTCACCTCCTCCCCCACCCCTCACCTCCTCCCCACCCCTCACCTCCTCCCCACCCCTCACCTCCTCCCCACCCCTCACCTCCTCCCCACCCCTCACCTCCTCCCCACCCCTCACCTCCTCCCCACCCCTCACCTCCTCCCCACCCCTCACCTCCTCCCCCACCCCTCACCTCCTCCCCACCCCTCACCTCCTCCCCACCCCTCACCTCCTCCCCACCCCTCACCTCCTCCCCACCCCTCACCTCCTCCCCACCCCTCACCTCCTCCCCACCCCTCACCTCCTCCCCACCCCTCACCTCCTCCCCACCCCTCACCTCCTCCCCATCCCTCACCTCCTCCCCACCACATCACCTCCTCCCCACCTCCTCACCTTGTCGATATTTTGGATGGAAGAGAGATGCAGCAGGGGGCGGAGCAGAATCCTTGCTGTCCAGCAAAGGCGTGTGCAGGGTGGTGGTGGCGCCTGCTCCATGATGAGCAACAACAGCAGCAGCTGGTGATGATGAGGTCTGCTGCTGCTGCTGTTCATTCAGCTGATGCAATGCTGACTGCGATGCAAGCACTGATGCTGAGGAGTATGGGTGGGATGGCTTCAGTGCTTCATGTGGTGCCACGTGTGCTGATTCCTGTGGTGGGTGTGCTGACGTCAGTGCTGCTGGTTGTGCTGACGTGAGCTCCTGTAGCACCTCTTCCGCCCCCTCTGTTCCTCTCAGAATCACTGCTGCCCGTGCTGCTGCGTGCATGCTGTGGTCCTGGAAATGAGATGGGAGAGGAGGGTGGGCAAAGAGTGGAACGAGGTTTGCAAACCACTGATGCTAACGTGAATTCCTGTAGCACCTCTTCCGCCCCCTCTGTTCCTCTCAGAATCACTGCTGCCCGTGCTGCTGCATGCATGCTGTGGTGCTGGGGTGAGTGGAGAGGGTGGGGTGGACAAAGAGTAGAACGAGGTTGCGCAGAGAGCAAGAGAGGATGCGTAGAAATCGGAGGGGTAGGACATGGGGAGGAAAGGAACAGTGGGATTTGAAGCAGAAGTGCGGGCATCACTGCAGGAATAAACCGCAACAGACGGCGCAGGTTGACGCACAGGGTCGGACTTTACTAAAAATTCGGTATTCTTTAGGTGCCTCAAAAGTCGGAATCTGGAGCAGAAGTGCGGGCGGCACTGCAGGTTGGCACTGCAGATTGGCACTGCAGGTTGGCACTGCAGGTTGGCACTGCAGGTTGGCACTGCAGGTTGCCACTGCAGGTTGCCACTGCAGGTTGGCACTGCAGGTTGGCACTGCAGGTTGGCACTGCAGGTTGCCACTGCAGGTTGGCACTGCAGGTAGGCACTGCAGGTTGGCACTGCAGGTTGGCACTGCAGGTTGGCACTGCAGGTTGGCACTGCAGGTTGGCACTGCAGGTTGGCACTGCAGGTTGGCACTGCAGGTTGGCACTGCAGGTTGGCACTGCAGGTTGGCACTGCAGGTTGGCACTGCAGGTTGGCACTGCAGGTTGGCACTGCAGGTTGGCACTGCAGGTTGGCACTGCAGGTTGGCACTGCAGGTTGGCACTGCAGCAGGTTGGCACTGCAGGTTGGCACTGCAGGTTGGCACTGCAGGTTGGCACTGCAGGTTGGCACTGCAGGTTGGCACTGCAGGTTGGCACTGCAGGTTGGCACTGCAGGTTGGCACTGCAGGTTGGCACTGCAGGTTGGCACTGCAGGTTGGCACTGCAGGTTGGCACTGCAGGTTGGCACTGCAGGTTGGCACTGCAGGTTGGCACTGCAGGTTGGCACTGCAGGTTGGCACTGCAGGTTGGCACTGCAGGTTGGCACTGCAGGTTGGCACTGCAGGTTGGCACTGCAGGTTGGCACTGCAGGTTGGCACTGCAGGTTGGCACTGCAGGTTGGCACTGCAGGTTGGCACTGCAGGTTGGCACTGCAGGTTGGCACTGCAGGTTGGCACTGCAGGTTGGCACTGCAGGTTGGCACTGCAGGTTGGCACTGCAGGTTGGCACTGCAGGTTGGCACTGCAGGTTGGCACTGCAGGTTGGCACTGCAGGTTGGCACTGCAGGTTGGCACTGCAGGTTGGCACTGCAGGTTGGCACGCAGGTTGGCACTGCAGGTTGGCACTGCAGGTTGGCACTGCAGGTTGGCACTGCAGGTTGGCACTGCAGGTTGGCACTGCAGGTTGGCACTGCAGGTTGGCACTGCAGGTTGGCACTGCAGGTTGGCACTGCAGGTTGGCACTGCAGGTTGGCACTGCGGGTTCAGATGGATTGCAATGCAAACGTACCAGCAGGAGCCAACGAGGAGTCTCGGGCGCGGCCAGTGCCATGCCGAGCAGCAAGAGACAGGGAGGGAAAGAACCGATTTCAGAGGATCAGAGATGCTTGGATTTTCACATACCAGCATCAGCCAGCGAGGGGTCTCTGGTGCGGCCAGCGCCATGCCGAGCAGCAAGAGACAGGGAGGGAGAGCGCCCAGGAGAAACATGCCACGCCACCTGCAGACATAGGAGTGCAGTGCGGTGGAAAGCGGTTTTGTGAGTGAGCAGCAGCCAGCCAAGCAGCAAAAGGCAGGGAGGCAGAGAGCCGAGGAGGAACATGCCACGCCACCTGCATAAACAGCAGCAGAAATAGGAGTGCAGTGCGGTGGCTTTTTTTGTTTAGGAAAAGTCACAAAAGCCATCTTATTGCTTACACGCATGCCACACCAGCTGTGATCTCGCTACAGAGGCCAACCAGCCAGCATGGCAGAGGAGACGCCAGTGCTGGTGGGAGGCAGCGGGGATTGAATGACTCGGGTGCGGTGCAATGCGGTACTGTGTAAGCAAGAAGCAGTGCACCCACGGGCGAGATTACCTACAGCATGCAGGAATAGATCCTGGTGGGAGTCTCACGGTCTCACCAGCTGTGGTGTTGCTCCAAAGGCAGGCTGGCCAGTAAGGCAGAAAAGACGCCAGTGCTGGAGGAGAGCTGAGAGAATGAATGACTTCAGTGCGGTGCAACGCGGTACTGTGAGCAAAAATGCGTGCACGGTCAGGATTACATCTGCCTCACCAGCTGGGGTGCTGCTGCAGAGGCAAGCCCGCTAGAAGGGCAGAGAAGACGCCAGTGCTGGTGGGAAGCAGCAGCGGGAGTGACTGACAATGGCGCGGTGCAATGCGGTGCTGTGAGAAAGAGGCGTGCTCGGTCCATGCCTCACCAGCTGTGGTGTTGCTCCAAAGGCAGGCCGGCCAGTAAGGAAGAAAAGACTCCAGTGCTGGTGGAGAACAGTGAGAACGACTGACTTGAGTGCGGTGCAATGCGGTACTATGAGCAAGAGGCGTGCAAGGTCGGGATTACATCTGCCTCACCAGGTGTGGTGTTGTTCCAGAGGCAGGTCGGCCAGCAGTGCAAAAGAAGACGCCCGTGCTGGTGGAGAGTGGCAGATGGAATGACTGACTTTGGTGCGGTGCAATGCGGTACTGTGAGCAAGAAGCAGTGCTGCAACAGATGCAGGGGGCCTCACCACCAGGTGTGGTGTTGTTCCAGAGGCAGGCCGGCCAGCAGGGCAGAGAAGACGCCCGTGCTGGTGGAGAGCTGTGAGAACGACTGACTTGAGTGCGGTGCAACACGGTACTGTGAGCAAGATGCGTGCACGGTCGGGATTACATATGTCTCACCAGGTGTGGTGCTGCTCCAGAGGCAAGCCTGCTAGAAGAGCAGAGAAGACTCCAGTGCTGGTGGAGAGCTGAGCCAACGTGCCCCACGTGCCGCGAGAAGAGGTGGGGGTTACCTGCGGTGGGGAGCGGTGGGGTGTAACACGGCACACTACACAACGCTACAGAGGATCCGAGCTATGGATGTTAGCAGGGCACAGAAGACTCCAGTGCTGGTGGAGAGCTGAGCCAACGTGCCCCACGTGCCGCGAGAAGAGGTGGGGGTTACCTGCGGTGGGGAGCGGTGGGGTGTAACACGGCACACTACACAACGCTACAGAGGATCCGAGCTATGGATGTTAGCAGGGCACAGAAGACTCCAGTGCTGGTGGAGAGCTGAGCCAACATGCCCCACGTGCCGCGAGATGAGGTGGGGGTTACCTGCGGTGGTGAGGGGGGGGGGAAGGTGGTGGGCAACAGGAGAAGGTAAGGGGACGGGGGAAGGAAACAGGCACGTGGGCTCCAAAAAGACAGCTGGGGGCTACCTGGTAATGAGTCGACTCAAAAGTGGTTCTGAGTCAACTCAAAAGCAGACTCAAAAGCGCGCACGTGGGCCCCAAAACGACAGGTGGGGGCTACGTGGAAGCATAAGGTGGAAGGAAGGAGGGTGGAGTAAGAAGGGTAAGTGGAGGAATAGATCAAATTTATCTCGAGGGAAATTGGACAAGTACCTCGGATGCAGGCAGAAGAAAAGTGAGCAGTGCACAGAAAAGGGTGTGTATCTATTGAGGATTTAAGGTTACAGGGTAACTTTAACTGTACCTCTGATATGTAGAGAGGAACAGTGCCAGATACAATTCCCAGTCCAATCCCAACAAGCGCTCGGCCAATCACCATGTGCCACGTGGCAGATGCTGCAGCACTGCGCTGCAGAGGGGTGGGTGGGGGGTTTGTATGTTGAGATAGTGCGGTTCAATGCAGTTGAATGCATTACATTGACGTACGAAGAGGTGCAATGAGGTGAAATTTGAGATTGACATAGAGAGTGATCTTGATAGCAATAGATTGAGTGCGAGAAGCACAGGGAGGGAGCAAGAAAGTATGAATCAATGGGGCAACAATCACATGTATCAGAAAATCTGCCTTCGCCCCTCCCGTCCCCCATTCATGTCCCCCTCGTTTTCCCCCATTCCTTTCCCCCCTCATACCCATGTTATCGCCTCCCAACAACCCATCCCTTTCCCTCCTCACTCTGCGCCCATTTACCACGCATGAACCTTCCCCACCACACACCTGAGCAGCGATCCAGCAATAAATGGCAGGGCGGCAATCTGAAACGCCCGCCTCCTCCCTGCCACGTCAGCAAGCCACCCCCCCAGCGGCGCTCCCACAGCTGCCACCGCCAATGGAATGCTCACAATCAGGGCTGCATGGTAGGGTGGTGGGAGAGAGTGGGGGCAAGGGGTAAAGAGAAAGGACTTTTGAGGCGCCTCAAAAGTCGTCTCACAATCACGACTGCATGGACAGCTGGCTCACAACCAGAAAGGGAGAGGGGGGGAATTGAGTAGGAAAGAGACAGGAGGATAGGGCGTGCATAGGGAGAGGAGGGACAGCCAAAACGGGAGAGGAAACGGGATAGCGGGCTCACACATTTGCTACTTACCATGATACTCACTTGCGTGCGACTTACTTAAGTGATACTTACTTACAAGCTGCCATACTGGAAAGGGTTGGTGTAGGCCCGCGAGAAGGAAGGGAATTGACACGTTGGAGCTGATTTACTAACATATTACTTATGCACATGATGCAGTTAAGCTACTACTAGCTTACATGCTGGCATGCTGGTTGCGGACTGGTGCAGGTCAGCGGGCAGAGACGCGTGGTTGACATTTACTAATGTCCTACTTGCTTACATGCTGCAGTTGAGCTACTACTAGCTTACATGCTGCCATGCTGGTTGCGGGTTGGTGCAGGTCAGCAAGAAGGAAGGGCAGAGACGCGTTGATGATACTGGTGGGAAGGGAAAAAAGGTAGGAGGTGGTATGGGAATGTATAAGACACAGACATGCGTTGATTATGCTGAAGAGAGGCAGGGATGGGTGGGTGGGATGGGATGGTACAGAAAGAGTGCAGTGCATTGAGGTGCAGAGTGGTGGAAATGACAAAGGGTACTGTGAAATCGTGCATTCTTTGCAAAGTATGCACAACCGTTTGGGGATGAAAATGGATATGAAACGCCACAAGAAAAACATTATGCAATCAAGAAAAAGAAAATCCAAATAAAAAACGTAACAGCACCGTACCTGACGTGGTAACCGAAGGAGAGAGCGCCACAGCAAGCGACAAGAACAGGCAGAGCCACCCCCGCCCCTCCGTACCGTCCCTTCCCCACTGCTCTCCTCCCCAGCCCGTAGCTCCCTCCTCCCAACACTCGGCTCCAAAAGAAGCCTTTTGATCCTTTCCTTTGAGAAAGAAACGGCTCTGTAGCTGCTGCTGCCTCGGGAAACCGCTCTTTCGTTGAACAAGGAAACTGTTCTGCAGCCGCTGCTGCTGGTGATGCAGCAGTGGGCGAAGGTTGAGGCAGAGGTAATGGAGGGGTTTCAAGAGAGTGAGGGTGTGCGAGTGGAGTGGGAGAGAGCGGGGTGTGGCGTGGAGGTAAGGGGAGTGACGCTGCGAGAATGAGCTTGTGGAAGGGACGGTCCTCCTCGGGGATTGGTCTTCCATCGCCATTGGCTGCCATTCATGAGTGAGTGGGGTGGGAGAGGGGAGGGAATGCGTGGAGGTAAGGGGAGCGACGCTGACAAATGAGCTTGTGGAAGGGACGGTCCTCCTCGGGAACTGGCTCTCCAGCACCATTGCCTGCCGTTCATGAGTGAGTGGGGTGGGAGAGAGCGGGGTGTGGCGTGGAGGTAAGGGGAGTGACGCTGCGAGAATAAGCTTGTGGAAGGGACAGTCCTCCTCCGGAACTGGCATCCCAGCGCCATTGGTTGCCATTTCTGTATACACCCATCACGCAACCATCCATCACGCAACCATGCATCATCATGCAATCATGCAACCATAGATCATGCACCCAGTGCCTACATGCGCACATCAAGCCACCATACCTTCCATGATCCATTCAATGTCCCACTATGCATCCATGCATTCATGCATAAAAAAACATACACAGAAAGCTGTTACGCGAAATTGTTCAGGGAACTGGTAAGTATCACATGGCAGAAACCTTCGTAATCTGGATCCAGGGTTGGGTCACTTGACAGACTAATCGGCGAACTGTGTGGCGATTAAGTAGAAGTCGTTGGGTCCGTACCTCCTCCCATTCCAATTAAATGACTAGTGGTTGTCGTTCTGTGCCTCGCAGGCGCTGCAAATTCCCGACTGCTGCTGCTGCTGCTCGAAGCACCTCTCATGTTATCGATGCTGCTCCCAGCGAGTACATCCCGAGATTTGCCATGTCTCATGCTTCTGTCGCTATCCCCTCTCTCGGTCTATGCCTTCCGCGATAACCCTAATCGCAGAAGAGCAAATGTCGCCTACACGTATGTTTCCTTGAGTCTCCGTAAGGATTGCGTTTTGAAGTCACGGACTCGAGCTCATGTCACACGACAAACTTCGATTTCATGGACAACTCGAGCTTTACAGATCATGGACTTTAAAGCAAGGGTGCATTTTGGGGAGGGTGGGGGCAAAGGTTTATCACTTGCCTCCACGTGGTTACCCGGTTTGTGGCTGTGGGTGAGACGCGAACGATGTTTCAGTGTTGGCGGAGTTGCGGTGGTAGTCTCGCTCCCGTCAGTAGCGACGGGGGGAATTGGAGTTGGGAACTTGAGGTTGGGACAGGCAGTTTGTGAACCAAAACGGCAGCGACTCTCGTTCCACAACACACATACTCCAAGCAACGAAGTAGTTAGCAACTACAGCCCACAGCGCACCGCCACCCACAGAGCATGGATTTTTGGACGATAAAGTAAATTCCCATTCCGTAGATTCATTCTAAAGGTGGAGTTTACGTCCGTTACATCGTCCCCAATGGCGACGTCTATCTCTCCACACGGGTCGTTGTCGCTCGCTCACTGGCGCGGCGCTTCCTGCCTGTCGCGACCCGTCGTTTTCTCGTCCAAGCGATCGCTAGCCGTCCGATGCCGCTACCAATCGCAGCAAAGCGTATCATCGCGACTCACGGTTCCGGCGTCTAGGCGGCCCGTGCGGCCAGTAGCGGCGGCGGCGGAGGGGATGGATGGGGAGGCGCAGCTGTCGGCGGAGGAGGCGCATGTCCTGAGTAGGCGTACAGGACATTCTTAAGGTGGTTCACGCTTGCCTAAGGCTCTCGCAACATTCGTAAAATTTCGCGACATTCAGGACTCTAGTGACATCGCACGCTTCGCTCACCTCCCTACTGTCCGCGTTTGCCCCCACCCCTCCCATTCCCTCCCCCCCCCCCCCCCCCCCCCGCTTACTCTGCCGCCCACCAATCTCCGCGCGCCTGCCGCGTGCAGATATGCCTGGTGGTGATGATCGAGGACCCGCGCGAGGCGGAGCGGCGGCGGCAGATGGGAAATGAAAGCGGGTGCTCCTGTGACGAGATCGCCGATGCATTCCGCGAGGTAAAAAGGGGAGGGGAAGAAGGAGAGCTAGCCGTAGCGTGCGAAGAGGGTGGAGGAGAGGTGGGGACGGGGAGAGGGTGGAGAGAAATGAGGGGGCGGGGGTTGGTTGGTGAGGAATGTGTGAAGGGGATGCTCGTCAAAGTCGCAAGCTGCAGCGCCGTGCTCCACCTCTCCTGCTCCCGTCCGTCCTTGGGCGCGCAGGTGTGCACATCGTGCGTCGAGCCCCACCCTTAGCCCTTCGTGCCCTCCCCAACCTTTCCCCCTCTGCCCCACCCCTCCCTTTCCCCTCTCCCCTCCCTGTCGCAAGTACAGCATGCTGCGGCGCAAGCTAGTTTAGGGACATCTCGATAACCCCGTCCTCCCCCCTCACTGCCCTCCCCGCCCTTTCCCCTCACTGCCCTCCCCGCCCTTTCCCCTCACTGCCCTCCCCGTCCTCCCCCCTCACTGCCCTCCCCGCTCTTTCCCCTCACTCTCCTCCCCGCCCTTCCCCCTCACTGCCCTCCCCGCCCTTCCCCCTCACTGCCCTCCCCGCCCTTCCCCTTCGCTTCCCTCCCCGCCCTTTCTTCTCACTGCCCTCCCCACCCTTTCCCCTCGTCTCCATGCCCGTTCCCCTCTGTGTCCCCCTTCCCCACCCCCTACGTGTTCGAGGACCCGCAGACCGCTTGGTGCTTGTTTTTCGACAACTAAGAACATTTCCCTTTTTGCCCTCTCACCGTGCCCTTTCCACCCCCCTCTCTCCCCCACCGTCCCCTCCACCCCTCTCCCCCACCCTTCTCGCTGTACCCCTCTCCCCCACTCTTCTCGCCCTACCCCTCTCCCCCACCCTTCTCTCCCCCCTCGGCCAGCCCCTGCCAGGATACAGTGAGATCCCTCGCCCTACCCCTCTCCCCTCATCATTTCTCCCCCCACCCCCTGTCATTTCTCCCCTCCCTGCTCACTCTTTCTTTTCCTCCGGCTTACCATTGTTTCCCCCCCTCTCTTTCCTTTCCCCCTGCTAACCCTTTGCTTCCGCCCTGCTCAATCTTTCTTATCCCCTGCTTACCCTTTGTTCCCCTCTGCTCACTCTTTTCTTTTTCCCATGCTCTTTCTCTCACCGTCCTTGTCCCTATGCCACTCGGTATCTTACAATCTGATTATGCTCCCCTGTCTGCTCCTTCGCACCTTCCCTCTCCCTTCAGTGGTGCAGTTCGTCGAGCATGAAGCACCCAAGATGACATTTAGTTGAACCTAGGATTGTCTGGACCCTCTCCGTGTCGAGAATCTTCGAATGATGCAACAGAATGTACATTCACATTAGGAAACAGGATATCCAATAATGATGGCATTGGTGATGTTTTTCTTTTTCCTTTGAAGGTTTCTTTTTTTATGCAACAATGCTTTACTGTATGTGAAGTACCGTACAAAATTTCCGTCCAAGTAATGTTTTACAAATATCGCGATGTACAAAGCAGTGCCTGAGCTCCTCTATGTGCTCTTGCGCCTGCTGCTGCACCGGAGGCGAGTCCCCACCTGTGAAGGCACGGATTCGTCCTGCACATAGCAAGACACTACAGGAGATGGCATGGCATGCTTACATGGTGATCCAGAGAGAAAAAAGGGGAGGCATGGAGAAAAAAGGGGAGGCAGGGAGAAAAAAGGGTAGGCATGGAGAAAATAGGGGAGGCAGGGAGAAAAAAGGGGAGGTAGGGAGAAAAAAGGGGAGGTAGGGAGAAAAAAGGGGAGGCAGGGAGAAAAAAGGGGAGGCATGGAGAAAAAAGGGGAGGCATGGAGAAAAAAGGGGAGGCAGGGAGAAAAAAGGGGAGGCATGGAGAAAAAAGGGGAGGCAGGGAGAAAAAAGGGGAGGTAGGGAGAAAAAAGGGGAGGTAGGGAGAAAAAAGGGGAGGTAGGGAGAAAAAAGGGGAGGTAGGGAGAAAAAAGGGGAGGTAGGGAGAAAAAAGGGGAGGTAGGGAGAAAAAAGGGGAGGTAGGGAGAAAAACGATAGGGCAGGGAGGTGAAGAGACGCGAATGGAAGGGAAGGGAAGAGAAGGGAAAGGGAATAAAGGGGGAAGGGAAGGGAGGAGAGAGGAAGGGAAGTGCAGGGAGGGCAAAACAAGCGAAGGAAAGGGAAGAAAGGAGAGGGGAAGGGAAGTGCAGGGAGGGCAAAAGAAGGGAAGGAAAGGGAAGGGAGGAGAGGGGAAGGGAAGTGCAGGGAGGGCAAAACAAGGGAAGGAAAGGGAAGGGAGGAGAGGGGAAGGGAAGTGCAGGGAGGGTAAAAGATGGGAAGGAAAGGGAAGAAAGGAGAGGGGAAGGGAAGTGCAGGGAGGGCAAAAGAAGGGAAGGAAGTGGAAGGGAGGAGAGGGGAAGGGTAGTGCAGGGAGGGCAAAACAAGGGAAGGAAAGGGAAGGGAGGAGAGGGGAAGGGAAGTGCAGGGAGGGTAAAAGATGGGAAGGAAAGGGAAGGGAGGAGAGGGGAAGGGAAGTGCAGGGAGGGCAAAACAAGGGAAGGAAAGGGAAGGGAGGAGAGGGGAAGGGAAGTGCAGGGAGGGTAAAAGAAGGGAAGAAAGGAGAGGGGAAGGGAAGTGCAGGGAGGGCAAAAGAAGGGAAGGGAGGAGAGGGGAAGGGATGTGCGACGAGGACGTCAAAAAGGGAAGCGAAGGGAAAAGAAGGGATTGGAGGGGAATGGGAGCAAAGGGAAGGGAGGGGTAGTGCATTGTGAGGGAGTGAGAAGGTCCTCTGTGGGTGGCGATGAGGCGGCGACCTGGAGGCGGCACGCCGTTGAGGAGGCCAGGCGGCGAGGCGGCGATGTGGCGGCGAGGCTCCTATCCGGCGGCGATGACGAATCGCTGCGGCGAGTCGGTGTTGTGGTTGCGATGTGGAGATGGGAAGGCGAGGTGGCGATTTGGCGGAAAAGAAGGTGCGAGGCGGCACTGGAGGTCGCACGACCAGGGCGTGATGCAGAGCGGAGGCGAGTTTGGTGGGGAGGCGAGTGGCTAATGCGCAGTGAACCTGGCTAATGGGGGATCATGCCGTTTATGTTGCGCCACGGCGTCGTGCAGGAACGACGGGAGAACAACGAGCCTCTTTCCTGGTCACTACGCGCTCGTGCCGTGCTTTCGACATTCGAATGCGATGACGAAACCCTAAACACATGTGGGGTGTGACATTCTCGTACGTACTATGTCGCCGTAGCGTCTCGAACTATTTCTTAGTAGCGTGATGGCTTTCCAACTCTAGTTCAGATTTGTCAAATTGACGGGGACATGTTGCGTCCCCTTGGTTAATTGCGCTGGGGGCTTGAGTTCCGCCCTGCAGCGTGCGCGTTCCCCCAAACTTACCCTGAACGAAATCGGTTGGCATCGCTTTTCTTGTTCCTCATCTCGCACCCGCTTTACAAACCCTCTTCACTTCGCCTGCAAATCAGCACTTCTCATTGGGTGTACACTAACAATACCCCCAAAAACCACCCCTAGGGATGTGTACCCCTGCTTTAATTTCATGCACACCGCGAAAATGGGTCCCAGAATTGTCGGGGTGAGCCCCTTGCAGACCTAATTGAAAGGATTCGAAAGTCCTCGCTGCAGTCGGTCGCGCTCCAGTCTATCCGTTCGTTTGCGCTGGTTATATACCTCTCGCTTTGTTCTGTACCCGTTTCTAATGTACCACAGTAGTTCAGCCTTGATGCCCAGCTCGGAGTCTACTTGGCTTGATGTCATTCACACATCAGCAGATTTGGGAGCTGATGGAGCAAGCACAGAGTGCAGCGCCACGTGGGCCATCGTCCATCACGAAACGGACGCACGTGATTCACACTGTCCTGCTGGTTCTGCCCATTTTTATATTCCAACATCCCCTGCTGATTCATAAGACAATTGGAAACCCTGGCAAGGGCTTGAAACATCAAAGCAGATGACTTTCTGTGCAGAGCTGGTCAGAGCGCCAGTTTTGCATAGTGATTAGACCCCCATACAGTCCTCGCTGTTTAGAAGAATACAGGTTTGGGGACGAACTGTTCAGTGCCGTATTGTCTGTAAGCTTTCTTTTTTCAGGTCAAGCAATCCTTCCTCAACCTGGATCTCCCACCCACACACGCAAGAGGGTCAAACGAGAAATATCCGACTCAACACTCAACATTGCCCTCTCCAATCAAGACACGGTCATGAAATATCCAACTCGTTACTGAATCATTTTCGACCTAGACCGCTGGAACCAGACCTTTGTACTGTATCCTTGCTTTCGTAACGCAACCCATCACAGTCTTCATCCGCCCACACCTCCTCATCTGCTCACTGTTCAATTACACCCAACCGAACCGCCACAAGACCTTTCGAACCTTTCAACAAGCCTCCCGAATCTCCTTGCCTTCCGCATCGTCTACCTCCCTCCCAACCATCCACCCCATCCGCGGCTCTTTCCATTCCACCCAGTGGCCCACTCTCTCATTGCCGTCGGACGAGTCTCCAAATCCCGTTATTCTCCCCTCCAATAACTCGCCCACAAACAGATTCCACTTGTGAAACCAGCAGGCAGCAAGCAGAGATACTTGCGTCTTTACGCCTCCGTCCATTGTACATCAGGCACGCGTGTGTCCAGAGAATTCAGCAAGTCTTTTGTGTGGAAGTCGAGTCACAACAAGGCGAGGCCAGTTGCATCCATTGCTCAGCACGGGTTTTGGTTGAGCCAGGCCTGGAAGCAGCAGATGTACGGAGCCGAAAAATGGTTCAGCGCGACTGCCTGTGGCAGTCACAGCTGCCACTACTACCCACTGCCAGTGGTCAGCCGCTCAAACAAACACAAGCTCAGCAGGCAAGACTCATCTCTGCATTCTAGGGCGAGCCTGTTCCTCCACCATTTGCTCTCTCTGATCCACTGTCTCTTCACCGAGAGTTGCGAGAGGAACAAATGCCCCACGAATGCTGGAGTCACCTGTCAGATGTCCTGTTGACGTAGCTCGCTTCGCCAAAAAGCTTTTACTCGGATGCAGAGCCACCCGCTAATCACCTCCCGTCTGCTTGACCCTAAACGTGCGATGCGCAGCGAGAGCTGCTTCTGAACGCAGCAGTGAACCAATCAGAATAATTCCGTCAGCCAGGTCAATCCATTCCCCCGACTGGCAGTAAACAGACGCAACATACGACGCGTTCCTCCTTTGAGACGATAAACATGCGACACGACTCGACGACTTCCTTCCTCCAATAATATCCTTCAATGGAACCCTCTGGAAAATTGCTCGGCTTACACCAGAGAGTGTTTACTAGCAGTATTACCTCTACAACTGGTACTCGCACCTGACGCAATTCCTGGTTCCTGGATCGAGATTCATCGCAATGGTATCCCTAATGAATCTACTAAACCACTGATACCTCTACGCGCTGCCTAGTAAAGAACATCACAAGAACTCATATAACAGAAGCCGTCGGTCGTCAGTCTATACTATGCATGGAGCCGTCTCGCGGCGGCTTAAGGCTCGCGCTCCGCTCCGACCTCCGCCTTCGCCGCTCCGGCCGCTTGGCGGAGCGTCAGCACACCTTTAACATTTTGGGTCGGACGTACGGGCAGCTGAAAAAACACTATCAGTTAGGGCCACAGCTCGGTTGCGGCGCGACGGGCTCGACTTATCTCACCCAGTGCCTACGGCCCGGGCAGCATTACGGGCAGCTGTTCGCATGCAAGTCGATCGAAAAAGCAGGGCTCGCAGAACCGGAAGATGTGGAGGCGGTTCGGACGGAAGTGGCGGCAATGCAGGTGCTACAGGGCGCGCCGCAGGTGGTGCAGCTGCACGACGTTATCGAGGACGAACAGGTGATGCGATATATTAGTAGAAGTAGAAATGACGCCGATATCACTCGCTGTTAATTTTCGCCCTATTCGCCGGCGGCGAATCTCTCGCCAACGTTATTCGCGATGTTCTTCGCCGACTCTGACTCTGTCTGCTTCCTCAGGCCGCAGCTCACCTCTCCCCACTCCCCTACCGTCTTTCCTCTTTCCGTTTCCCACCTCACGCGGTGCATCTCATCCCCGCGCGCCATGTCACAGGCCGTCCACCTCATCATGGAGCTATGCGAAGGAGGCGACCTGTTTAATCTCCTCCTGATCAATGGCCGATTCCCGGAGCGCACGGTGTCGCACGTGGTTAAGTTGGTCGCCGAGGCGCTCATTGCCTTCGAGCGCGTCGGTCTCGTGCATAGAGACTTGAAGCTCGAAAATATCTTCGTTTCCGAGATCGCTAGCACGGAAATCACATTTTCCGCGAAAAATCGCGGGGACAGATCTGGCGACGGCTCTCACGGCTACTCTTCTCTGTGCGTTAAACGTGTCGAATCTCAAGGCGCCTGCACTGGCACTGGCTTGGCTGTTGATAGCAGCGGTACCAGCAGCTCGTGCGCAAGCCCTAGCAGCCGTAATAGTATTTTTTCGAGTCGTTCTGCTAAACATGAGAGCAGACGGAGCGGCAGCTTCGGCAGCAGCGGCAGCAGCAGCAGCGGCGGCGGCAACACCGGCAAAATCGCCGCTAATCACGCTCAGCCCAGCAGCTTCCTAATAAATGATTCGTCGACCAATAGCAGCTTCAGCGCCTGTAACGGCGGTAGTTGTGGCAGTTGCTGTTTCTGTCGCACGACTGGCGTCGCGAATAATGGTAACGACTCTTCGCCTGTCGACCTCGCTGGACCGTTGCTAAGCAACCGCATTATACCTGGGAAACCCACATCTGCAAATAAGGTTGAGGCGTCCACCGGCGAGAGGGGGCGAAGTGCAGCAACTATCAGCGTTCGCGTTGGCGATTTTGGGGTGTCCGCGTTCGTTAAGCCTGGCGAAGATCTTCATTCGGTAACAGGGAGTCCGTATTACGTAGCTCCCGAGGTTCTGGAAAACTCTTACGGACCTGAAGCTGACGTTTGGAGCCTAGGGATTGTTGCGTACACGCTACTGTGCGGTTACCCGCCTTTTTTTGCCGACGAACCTGATGGCATTTTTGAAAAGATTATGAGAGGTGGGGATGCTGACGTGTCGCATGGCCCGTGGAGATTGATTTCCAGGCAGGCGAAGAATCTTGTGACAAGGTTGCTGGCCAGAGATCCTGCGAGACGGATAAGGCCATCTGAAATTCTCGGTAAGGACTTCTGATTCGCTATTGCCAATACTCACCTGTTTATGCCGTCCCTTATCATCTCAGAAGATCCTAATCATTGTCGCCTTTTGCCCCTACCGTTTGATTCTTCCCCTCCAGAGCATCCATGGGTGCTAAGATATACATCAGCAGCAACACCATCAACTGCAGCACATTCAGCAGGAGCTTCAGCAGGAGCAGCTGGAGGAGCGGCAGCAGCTGCTGCAGCAGCAGTTGTTCCTGTTCACCATAGACCCTCCATCAAGCCTCCTAACCAGCTATCCATCCAGCTTACCACTCACCACCACTTGCCACATATTTCGCCACGTCAGCATTCTGTAATCTCGCCAAGCCACAAATCTGGGAATTCGCAACATCTGCAGTTGAACACGTCACCACGCCAGAACCCCTTCAGCACGCCACGTCATCAGTTTCAGGGGCCAGTTGATCTCTCACAACCCTCTGCCAACTTCCAACGCCTCTCCATCAACCCTCCTCGTCCATCGGTCAACCCTATTCGACCCTCGGTCAACTCTCCACGCGCCTCGGTCAACTCCCCTCGACCCTCAGTCAACTCTCCACGCGCCTCAGTCAACTCCCCTCGACCCTCAGTCAACTCTCCGCGTGCCTCAGTCAACTCCCCTCGACCCTCAGTCAACTCTCCTCGCGCCTCAGTCAACTCTCCTCGCGCCTCAGTCAACTCCCCCCGAGCTTCAGTCAACTCCCCCCGCCCTTCATTTAACTCCCCCCAACCATCAGTCAAGAGGAAACCAGGGGGAACAAACTATATCGGAGGAGGGAATACAAAAGGAGGGGGAAGAACGGGAGGTGGGTGGAATAAGGGAAACTTCACTAGGGGCGAATTTTTGAACCCGAAGGCTGATGCACGGACTAAAAATCAGCCTGATTTCAAAGGTGCCTTAAGTACTGACACACCGTTAGCAGGGAGAGCAAAAGCAGCAGCAGCAGCAGGAGCAGCAGCAGCAGGAGCAAGAGCCGGGGAAGCAGGGAGGGCAGGAGCAGCAGTAACAGGAGCAGGGAGGGCAGGAGCAGGAGCAGCAGCAGGAGCAGGAGCAGCAGCAGCAGCAGCAGCAGCAGTCCCTCCCCATCCGCCATTCCTCAGATCAGCTTCTGACAGACCTCCTACGCAATCAACACTTCCGAGTAGCAGAGCCTTCCGCAAGTCAGCCTCCATGCCTGCAGAGAGAATGCTGCACGGCTCTAGGCCCCGTTCCGACCCTCCGAAGCTGCCACTGGAATCGACACCAGAGTCAACACAACAGCTCTTCATTCCTGCAGCTACGGGTCTCGAGAACCGTCCAGCTCGCTTCTCCCTCATTGACTCCACTGCAGAGTGGCCTCAACTACCCTCCATGAATTCGCACATGAATTCGCACATGAAATCGCACATGCCTTCCAAGTTACCCGAGCCGGATGCTTTCTCTGCAGTAGACGCTGTCAGTAGCTCCGCTGTGAGCCCTCCTATCGGAACAGCTCTGAACGCAGACGTTCACAACGGCAGGAAGGCTCACACACGCACCCTGGGCCCCTGTGATGCATCCAGGTCCCTCCCTGACCCCGCGCAGGCTGTGTCCACGACGAAGCCGACTGGTAACCCCAGTGCTAACCAGGGAGCACCCAGGTCTACCCTAACTCTTATTAACAAGGCCAAACCACCCAAGACCAATCTGTACCACTCGCACGCCCCGGATCACTTAGCAGTACCCTCCAGAAGGTTAGCAGACAAGCCGTTTCCTGCTGGAAGGGGAAGGCTGATGCGCGATGTGATTGTGACAAGGGAGTCTTGTAGAGAGAGGGATGTTCATCAAGCAGAGGACGCAGGGGCTCAAGAAGGTGTTGCTTCAGGTTGTGCTGCTGCTGCTGCTGCTGCTGCTAGTGCAGGTGTTGCCGATTTTACTGCTTGTGCTTCTGAAGGTGCCTTCCTTTCAAGCACATTCCCTCCAAGGCATCACGGTTCACCTTCACTACACTCCACGCCGGTTGCTCGCAGCACCTCCCTTGCTTCTCTTCCTGCTGCATTTTCAGTGTCTCCGTGTCACTCCCGCAGCAGCTCCAGATGCAGTCTTGAACTAGAGTCTTCGGACTTCCAGACACTGTCCAGCATAATTGCCGCCTAGTTTCAAGCACATTCCCCTCAAGGCATCATGGCTTTCCTTCCTTCCACTCCAAGCCTACGGGTTGCAGCTCATCCCTCGCTTCTCTTCCTGGTACATTTTCAGTTTCTCCGAGTCACTCTCGTAGCAGCTCTAGATGCTGTCTTGGATTGGACTCCTGTGATTATCATACATTGCCCAGCGTGATTGCTGCCTAGCTTGCTGAAAATTACCACCTCAGTGTTTAAGTTCTCATTCTGTAAGTTATTCTGCTATGTGGAAACGCTAGAATGCCAATATTTTTGGGATGAAATGTTTTACAATGCATACCTCCACTGTAGTAACTAAGAAACTGTGGAGTGTCAGTTCAGTGAGGCCAAATCCTCGCTATGACATGAGAGTGGGTCTCATTTCGCAGAGTGCAACAAAATCAAGGAATTATCCTCATTTTTCTTGCTCGCTCCTCCTAACCATGGGCATCCCCGTTACAGAGCACCGCGATTTCGCCACAACGCCCCGGTCGCATTGCGCGGCAGTGCCGCACATCTGGTCTCGCTTCGTCGACGCTTTCGTTGATTTCTCGGTCGGCGGTCACGTGCTCGCGGGCCGTGCGAAGGATTCGCCACGGTGGACTCAGCCTGTCCAATCAGGAGCTCTAGATCCAGCCACTGGCCAATCAGGAACTTCGAATGAGACGGATTCCGTCAGTCCAAGAGACACTGACGGGCCGCCTCCGTTAGCGACGGTGCTTCCGGCGGCGGATCGCGTGGTGGCAATCGGCGACATTCACGGCGATATCTCCAAGGCGAGACAGGCGCTTCGCACGGCGGGGCTGATCGACGGCCAGGATCGCTGGACAGGCAAATCAACGGTTCTCGTGCAGGTTGGGGATCTTCTAGATCGGGGAGGCCAGGAACTAGCCGTTGTCTACCTTTTTGAGAAATTAAGGCGGGAAGCGAGACAGGCTGGAGGCGCTGTGCACGTGTTACTTGGTAACCACGAGACTGGGAATTTTGAAGGCTGGTTTCGTTACGCAACGAGAGAGGGCAGAAGAGATTTTCAAAGATGGGCAGCCTGGGAGAGACTGGGGGTTGGTTTCCGGGCAGCTTGTGAAGGAGGTAGGGTTTCTCCCGACCCTCTTGCTTCGGTTTCCGAACGTGTGAGGACGGAGCTTCGTGCACGTATGGCAGCATTATCTCCGGGCAGCCCGCTCCTGCAGCGTTTCTTTGCGGGCAACCCGAGTGTACTTCGGCTGGGCAGCACAATTTTTGTGCACGGGGGACTGCTGCCTGAGCACGTGCAATACGGTCTGGAGCGGATCAACCGAGAAGGGCAGGAGTGGATACTTTCACCTACCCGGCGGCCGGACGGGCTGCCCGAGCGCGGGCCACATTTTTTCCATACGAAAAACGCGGTCGTGTGGGTTCGTGAATACTCCCACACAGACCCTTCGATCTGCGATTGCAGGCTTCTGGAACGGACGCTCGAGATGCTCCCAGGCTCGGTGCGAATGATTATGGGCCACACGATCCAGCAGCCGGGGGGAATCAACGCTACTTGTAAAGGGAAGGCTATTAGAGTGGACGTTGGGATGTCAGAGGGGTGTGGAGGGGCAGAAGCGGAGATTTTGGAGATTCGGAAGGATAGAGAAGTGTGGGTGGTGCGGGCAGCAGAGGAAGCTGCTGGGAAGCCTGCTAAAGCGCATGTGCTGGCTGGGACTGAAGTGCCTGCAGATAAGCACGGGTTCTGGGGGAAGCTGAGGGAAGCAATGGGAACAAGAGTGGCGTAAAGGAAAGAAATAATTGGTTGGCCTGCTGTGCATTGGAAGTGAGTGCAGCAGGGGAGGCAGCCGGGGCAGCAGAGAAGGCAGCTAGGCCATCAGAGGAAGTTGTGGGGGGACCCCGCTAAAGCGCATGTGCTGGCTGGGACTGAAGTGCCTGCGGATAAGCACGGATTTTGGGGGAAGCTGAGGGAGGCCATGGGAATAAGAGTGGCGTAATGGACGAAAATGGTTGACATGCAGTGTATTTGGGTGGTTAGAGCTGCTGAGGAAGCACCGTGCAAGCCTGCTTGACTGATCTATGAGGTGGCTGGCTGGAACTATTCGATAATCATGGGTTGTGTGGGACAGGATATCAGTTTCTGCTGTTGAAGGAATTCGGAACAGGAAAAGAGATGTAGTTTCTGGTCACTGGTGAATAAGGGATTGTTGGAAACTCTGTACCCTTACATACATTTCTCAAATACTCTTGCGTGAAAATACTTCTTTCAGCCAGGATGAGTGTGCTGTAACCATACCGTAGCTGCACTGACTTGCACAACTTACCACCCATGCACTATTTAGACTCCATTCCCACTAAAACCACTTGCACGCTGCCTCCTGTTGCTGCTAGCCTGGCTGCTCTGGCTAGCTTCACTTGCTTGACTAGTTCCATTTGTTCCACTCGCACTCGTCGTGCTCCCACTTGCGGTTTCACTCCCCATAGTAGCCGCCGTATCCCCTCCGGTTCCTCTCAACAAATTCAGCAGCTGCGTCATGGTTGCAAAGAACAGGTCAGATTGGAAATCCGGGTTGAAAAAAGAGCCCAAGGATAAACCTCCCCCAGAAGAGCCTCCTCCAGTGCTGCTGGGGGTGCCGCTGCCTAGCTGGATTGGCATGGGGACTGCTGGATCTGATGCTGACGTGGCAGCTTGGACGAGTGTGTTCACAATTTGGCTTTGGATATAGGCAGCAGGAGGCGGGGGGGAGGATGGAGGAAGGGAAGGAGAGCGAGGGGGAACAGAAGGGGAGACAGTGCGAGGAAGGGAGGGTGGGGTTGCTGGAGTGAGGGAGCTGTTGGATCGGAGGGAAGCAGTTGCTGCAGGTGGCGTTTGTGTTGTGTTTGAAGCGCTTGCGCACGAACCTGCAGAGAGGCAGAACGGATGAAATGAATAAGGGATGAAACAGCAGGCAACTGAAAGCAAGAGAAGAGAAAGGCAGAAACAGTTCACTTCTAAAGACAAACGAGGAGTTGTTATCAGTGA